TACATATGTTATTTTGTGTCTTGACTCTGCTTTTTCAAAACCATAGGAGTATTTTTGAAAAATTGCATTTTGCCTCCTGGAGAAGTGGAGAAGTAACCTCTGTGGTATGTTTATTTCTTATTATTTACCTTTGATTAAGCTAATTGAAAATCTGACTACATTGCAATAGTTTTTTTAAATTTAAATTTTTTTCTTTATAAAAGTTTGTACCTTTTGACCACCTTCATCCAGTTTCTCCTCCCTTCACCCTTGGCCTCTAGTAAGATCGAATCTGATCTCTTTTTTTATTTGTTGAGACAGTATTTCTGTACTGACACAATGATAGTAAAAATTTTAAAGTATTCAGCTGCTAAAGTGTGAGGTACAAGTGCCTGAGGTGTGCAGAATCTGAATTCTGTCTCTCTCGTCACGTGTAAGAACAGCTTTCTAGTAACCGTAACTCCATATTTGAAGCACGTGGACTTTTTCACGCTTGCATGTACAAACGATTCATGCTGTGTTCCTTTTCTGTTGTTTAAACTCAGTATACCTTGCCACTCAGTGATCTTTTCCTTTGGGAGAGGCTGGGGGAGACCAAGGGGCGGTCACTGTGAGCTCTGGTCTCATTCTGCCACTGCGTGTTGGCTCTGCCTCCTTGTTTCTCACTTAGTGTCTCGTTTACAGTTGGATGTTGGTGCTTGCTGTATTCATTGTGATCTTCTGGGCCATCAATCTCCCTCTGCTGAGCCCCTCCCCTATCTGTGTGTTCAGTCAGGACGTAAAGCTTTGCAAATAGGCAAGCTCTTTGGCAGCTTCTCATATTTGACGTAGGATCAGTGTTTATGGATTTACTGGTTTCTCTTCAAAGAACTGACCTCCCTCAGAAACCATGGTTTTGCTTCATGACCTCCCAGAACAAAAATTGAAGTTCTGACATTACCTGAAGCTTCCTGAGCTGAGGGATAAATCAGAACCTCTGTAAACACTGTTGGTTCGTTCATTTTGTAGCTCGAAAAAAAGCAGTGGAAATCACCTATGAATCGGGAATTTGACTCTCAGCTGTCTTTTTTTCTATGACAGTATATAGTTTGAAAAGTTTTTCTAAGAAGTTCATTACCAAGTGGAATGAAGAAATACTGTAGTTACTAGTTATATGCACTATAGAATATGATCTAATCTAATATAAAATATTAGAAATAGTTAGGAGGAAAATAAACGTGTGAAGCCTACTTCTTGGGCTTGTCTGCCCTTTGTCAGGGTGGGGGGAGAAGGGGAGAAAAGACTGGTTTTCTGTTTTTCTCCTGGTTTTCTGTTATTTCACAGCAGTTGTTCTTAGAAGTCCTAGGAAAGCAATGCCTAGTAGATATGTTTTTGTTTTTGTATTTGTTTTTGATATATATATAACATGCCATGTACATAACATAAAATTTACCATTTTGACTTATTAAGTATTGTTTGGTGGCATTAAGTAAATTCACATTGTTGTGTAACCATCCATCTTCAGAACTCTTTCATCATTTTAGACAAACTCTATATCCATTAAATAACTCCTCATTTCCTCTTCCCCTCAGCCCCTGGAAACCATCATTCTACTTTCTGTTTCTATGAATTTGTCTATTCCAGTTACCTCGTATAGTATTTGTTTTTTGTAACTGGCTTATTTCATTTAGCACAGTGTCCTCAAGGTTCATCTGTGTTGTGGCATGAATCAGGATTTCCTTCCTTTAAGGTTGAATAATATATTCCATTGCATATAGGTACCACATTTTGTTCATCTTTTGATGGACACTTAGGTTGGTTCTACCTCTTGGCTATTGTGAATAATGCTGCCGTGGTCATGGGGATGGGACTGGAGTGAGGGTTCCCCAAGAGTGGTTTGAATTTCTTGCTGACACTGAAGGAGGGAGCCCCTTGCCCTCCCTACCATGTGCCCAGAAGAGGAAGAAGTAGAGGTGAGTGAGACTGAAAAGCTGTTAGCAGTAAAACATCAAAAATGAAGCCAGGCCCTTTATTGTATTCACATACCACAAAATTCACCTTTTGAAAGTGTTCTTTATACGACACCAGGACTGTAGTCAGTATTTTGTAGTAGCTATTAATGGAATATAACCTTTAAAAATTGTGAATCACTGTGTTGTGCATCTGTAACTTAAATTATATTGTATATCAACTATACTTCAATAGAAAAAAGAAACATATTCAATCCAGTGGTTTTTAGTGTATTCACAGACTGTATATTGTGTATAGGTAGCCTATATGCTAGAAACACTGTCTAATTTCTGAACATTTTTATTACTCCTAAAATAACTTCCATACTCATTAGCAGTCACCCCCCCATTCTCTGGTAATCACTAATCTACTCTCTTATCTCAGTGGATTTGCCTATTCTGGACATGCTGTTTAAATAGAATCAGCTAATATGAGGTCTTTTGTTATTGGCTTCTTTTACTCAGTGTGGCATTACTCATTCACATTGTAGCATGCATTGGTTCTTTATTCCTTTTATGGCTGAGTAGTATTCCATTGTGTAGTCACACCATTCTAGTTTGTCATACTAAAAGATGACTGACAGAACATCTGAGGATAAGGTGATCATAGGAGAGTCAGGTATTAGCAGGAGAGGAAGACATGGAGTTGGATCTCAATGGGAGTCAAGGGCAGAAATCCAGTCTTGGGAACTGTGTAAAGCAGAGGTGGCATTTTTTTAAAGATATTAGCATGAATGTGATCTCCAAATTGAAATATGTACACTGTGGGTGGCTGAACTGGTTGCCAATAGATACCATCCATCTATTCATGTTCTCTGATGGAGTTTATGGTAATTATCATTCTGATGCATAACAATCAGTGACACCCAAATACACATTTTGAATGATTCATTTTGTCATACCTCTGTTAGCATGAAACTTACTTTTTGACCTTATTGAATCCTTTGCTCTAAATGTCTTCTGTTTTTCTTGTCCACTAATTTTGTTGGTTGGAAAATTGTTAATACTTAAAATTGATACAAGTTGCTTAAATGTTTATTAATGTATCTCTAGGAAACATTTCTTTTTCTCAGAATGATTTTTGTTTCATTCTCTCTCATTGTTTTAAATAGTAACTTAGGTTTTATTTTTTTTAAGTGAATCAAATAGAGTACATTAGCAGCTTCAGATTTTCTTGGTTACCGTTTGTGATCCTTTGTAAAGTTCAAACATTACCTTTTGTATCTCAAATAGTATTCATTGGCTTCTGTGCCCCGGATGTCTAAAATAAGTAATAATAACAAATTGAGTTAAAATTTCTAGATACCATCTTTATTTATATTCAACTAACTATTACTTTTTAAATTGTTTTCCTCACAGAACAGAAGTTAGGTTAGTTGGTGAATTTTTTTTTTGAAATCTCAGGATAATTTTTAACCCAGGTGTTTAGTGCTTTATAGTCAACAGTATTCAGTTTCTGTGTAGATAGATTTCTGTGGTGTGTATCTGCCAGCGTTGTGATGAGGCATGAAGACTTGTATCTGCTGATGTCAGGACTTGTGCGTAATCTTGAACACTGTAGCTCTGCTTTAACTGAATTACCCTTCTGAAGCCCATGGCTCTAGACCACATATGATTACTCTGTTTATTTTGTTTGTTTGTTTTGTTACTGACATGTGGCCAGTATCTCTACTCCTTTGATCTCTGTAGCTTTTTGATACACTTTGCATAAAAAGTCAGGAGACAGATGAAGTCTAGATTTTTGCTTATCTCTTGGGCTTAATAGGTATACTAGCTATAGAGGACAGAAATGTTGGGACTGCATGGTATTCTCTGAAGGTCTGTTCTCACTACATTACACGGGTTTCTGTTACCAACCTGCAGGTTCAATCATTATAATTCACTCTAGAGCTCCACTGGCGCAATTGGTTAGCAAACGGTACTTATAATTCACTCTAACTTTGAAATCTATAGATAGAAAGTGAAAACCATCTATTGCCTTGTGAAATAAGGAAGAAGATCAGGACAGGTTTTAAAAGAGCAGTAACCTTTTTCTAGATGCATGTTGTAGGAGGGAGGGGTTTCCCTGCATATTCATCATGGTCTTTTTACATAATTCGCTTTTCATATTCTAGAAGGAAAATGGGATGAATCAATTTGATATTATATCAATGACAAGCTTTCCTATCAGCCTTCCCTAAAGATACACACAAGGTAGTGTAGTGTTACTGAGTTCAGTCTGCAGTGGAAGGACCTGGATTACTTATGCACCAAAAATAATAACCTTGCTGTCTGTGGGACTTAAGTGTGCATTTACCATTGCATACCAGAGCGCTGCTTCAGAAGGTGCCAGGTAACCCTTTATCCATGTTCTCATTTGCATCTTTGGGTGTCAGACATGAGGGAATTCTTTTGAGCAATGCAAACTTACCAGCCCCCTCTCTAGCAAAGAGTGGAAGTGGGCAGAAGTCAAGATTGACACAGCAATTTCGTGTTCCCTTGTGGTTTGCTGTCAGCAAGCTGTTACCCACACACGCAAAAGGTTGTTTGAAGTGGGCTTACACATGTTTCCATAGCAGCAGTCATCTTAGTGATTCCTCTCGTTTTTTGGACTTTTTTTTTTCCTTTTGCTTCTCTGTTCCTCACTGATGCAGGATTAAACAAACAGCATATTTAGGTCAAGGAAAGAGATGTTTGCTAATATAGATGCTAGGCTAAGCATTCTGGGAGAGCGATTTCTTGCAGCAGATGAACATTCTTTGTGCCTTCTAGCAGCATCTGCAGCAGGGTGGCTGTCTGGCACTGTCTTTTTCATTTTGGGCAGGTTCTGAGATTCAGAACAATCCGGAGCAAATTGCAGGAGCCGGCAGTTTTGCAGTCACCATATGTAAATCTTCTGCTTATTTGTTCTTTGGTATTAACCATGGAGTGATCTGTTGGAAAGACGATACTTTAAAGGTTTTGGTGCATTTGAGGTGTGTCACTTGTTTTTGCACCACCCCTCCTGTTTGACACTCGGAGCCTGGATTTTTTTTTTTTTTTTTTTTCTGTCAGGCTGTTGGGCAGGAGCAGATTCTAGTAGAGCAGCTCGGAGCTTCCCTTCTGTTCTGGTGTCGGCGACTGCCTGTCATGAAGATGGTACAGTGGGAGCCGGCTCTGAGGAGCCAAGGAAGATGATGTGGAAATGGAGTAGAGATCGCTAGAAATCGGAACCTCCACACCTTGGGGATGGGTTGCACTACTAGTGTGATCCTGTTTAAAGGCATCCGCACCGTTTTTGAAAGAAACTGTGCTTATATGTGCAAACAGCAAGGAGAGAATAATGCCCTTGAATTCACAGCATACAGTTGGACAAAAGAAGATTCAGAACTATTGATCTCCTCCTGTCTGGTAAATTCTGCCTCTTAATTAACAAGTAGTAGTTTAATGATGTTAGAATAAACTAGTCTTTGCTTGTAAAGCAAATGTGTTTAATTATTTCCATTTGCTTATATATATGTAGCCTGTGTGTATAAATGGGTAATTAGTGGCCTTAAGTTTAAATTATGAGGTGCCTGCTGGTATGTGTGAGAATGTCATGTGTTAATCAAGCTGAAATACATTCAGAAAGAGCAGCTGGAGTAAGATATTTGATTACAGAACAGTTTTCTAAGTTAGCGTTATGAGCTTACATGTTCTTGGTATAGTCCCAGGAATAACACTGGCAAAGCCTGTATTTAGGGCATTATATATTGAACCCTCTACCTGTGATGGTGAATTATTCAGTCCCTTTACCTCTTAGCCTTTTACTTGTCTAGATTTTCCTTACTAATAGCTTGTGGTCAGTCCTTCGATTCAGGCGGAGAAATTTAAAGGGAACATGAAAGAAAACTGTAATGGGTGTGAGAAAAATATTTATAGTTTTATTATTTTAAATCCAACTTTTTATAATGTTTTTGAGTGAAGGCTCTTGAGTAAAAGGAACCTTAGTTGACACTTCTGCGTCTTTTCCTCCTTTTCTGATGCCCAAGGAGGCGTCAAGTCACAGATGGGTGTGCCTCTCCATGGCCTTTTCACAAATGCCAGACTCATGGGAAAGCTACATATTGGTGTCCTCCCTCAGGATGCCTTGCCATTTTCCTTTTTGTTCTTATCACAGTTTTTGTCAGAACGAGCTGGGGATAATACTCGTGGGAGTTTCTGTGTGTGAGACTGGCCAGCAGGCTCTTGGTGTGGGGAGGGCAGGGCGTGTGGAAACCCCGAAACCTTTCCTGGCTGTTAGTCCATCCGAGACTGAGAGGGCGTCCTGGCGTGCCCTGTGTACCTCGGGATCAGAGCAGGTCACCCCAACCAACCTTGCTGGGGCCCCAAGAGAGGATGCATTTTGTGGGGAGGCTTAGGCGATGTTGGCTCTCAAAATCCCTGGGAGGAAGAAAAGGAGAGCATCACGCAGGCGTCAGATGCATTTTGGAAGCAGTGAGCATTACGTGTGGGGATGGAATTTAAGTGGTGCTGTTTTAACTATTAAATATTTTAAACTCTGATATATTTTGGGATATGCTTTTGAGAATGTCTGCTATCAGACATTGGAAGGACTAGCTCATTTCAGTGTCTGTCCCATTAGTGTAATCCATAACCCTGACAGCCCCAGGACTGCTGGGCTCATGATGCCAGCGCCTCTCCCATGCCACTGCTTCTGCCCCCTCAGGCTGCACCTCCTTGTGTTTGGTTAACCTGCCTTTGAGAGACTCTGCTTGTTTTTCCTTTTCTTTTATTGCATTTAGGAAATACATACCTGCCAGAGGCTTGGTTGGTACTCTGGGACTGGATTCTGAAACGCTGCTCCTGTACCTTGGGTTGGTTGCTCTCTGCCACCACCCCTTCCTGCACCAGCAGACCCAGAGAGATGCCAGGAGCATGCATGCATGTGGCCAAGGTGCTGTGGGTGGAAAGATGCCCCCCCCCCCGATGGATCTCCCTGCCTCTGTCCTTGACCCTACAGCCTCTTCTCTATGCTGCAGACAGTGGTCCTTTGAAAAGGAAAGCCAGATCATCCTTATTCTGCTCAGGGTCAGATCCAGAATCCTTACAGTGGCTTCCAGGTCCTTCCCCAACATGCCCACTGCTCCCTACTTCTTCCTCACACTCCTCATTCCTTACTCTCTCTGGCCTCTTCTCCTGGGATTTCCATCCAGACATTGACCTGGTCCACCATTGGCCTCCTGCAAGGCTTTGCTCATATTTCCCCTTCGTGTTGAGACGTCCTTGACCACCGGTGTAATCCTGCAGCACCCCCAGCACACCTTCTCTGTGTCCCTGCCATGGTTTCTTCATAACATTGATCTCACCTGATACACAGCTAGGCAAGAGTAATAGCATAAGTACAGTGATAGTAATTCATGGTACATATTCATAGTGTGTACACGGGAATAAGATCTGTGATGGCAGGGATTTTTGTCTGTTTTACTCACTGCTCTGCCCCAGCAGCTGGAACAATACCTGATTTGCAGCAAGTGCTCAGTTAATGAGTGAATTCTGGTGAAATAGTTTTATGATCTTGAATTTGAACTTGGAGAAGCTGTGGACAAAGATAGGTTATGGTCTAAAACCAGTCTTTTGTCCAAGAGTTTTTGTCCTGGAGCTACCCTGAGAAGTTGCATGGTCCAAGGCTGGCCATTGCATGGGTTTGCTATGATCCTGAGTGACAGTTGATGACACTGTCTTTGGTTATTGTCCAGACTAGCTCTGTTGAGACCCATTCCATGACATAGGCATTTGGGGACCTTCTCATCTTTTGGTCTGACCCAGCCAAACCCTTCATTAAGGGAGCCCTGCCTATTGGCACTCCCTTGGGCCTTCTCCATGCAAAGTAGGCTGACCTTCTCATCAGGCAGATGCATTTCCCTGTCAGGCTTGTCAGCCTTGGTCGGGAGGGTGTCTGTCCTTCTTCTAGCTCAGGTGGTGACTCCAGCCCGTGGCTCTGCCTTCACTGTCAGCAGGTCCAAGCTGTACTCACCTGCTCCTCAGAGTATAACCCCCATCCGGCCACTCATTGCATAACAAACCTTGTGGAAGAAAAGTAATATTCACAAGGCCACTCTTCTTTGAGACACTCTAAATAGCCCAGATATCTGCCCATCTATCAGAAACCCCATGCGTGGACTGCGTCCTTTTGGCCTCAGTAGAATTGCTGCTCCTGAACTAAGTTTTGTGTTTTCTTCTTGTGCACACTGAAGGGCATCATCATGAAAGTGATGTCTACCCTGAGGGTGCTGTTGAGGGCACTCAGGTCACTTGCTTTCGTAACAGTGAGAGGCACTGTAGTGTGGTGGCGAAGAGTGTCAACTCTGGAGCCAGCCTTCAGGGTTTGAATCCCCAATCCACAACTTGCTAGCTGTGTGACTTGGGGCAGTTTACTTAACCTCTCTGTTCCTCAGTGTCCTTATCCATTCAATGCAGATAATAATAGTACTTACCTCATAGCGTTATTAAATGAGTGAATATGTCTAAAATTCTTAGGACAGAATGTACATTAGTGCTGATTGTTAGCAGTTATTGTAATTATATCTATTTTTCAGTGTTTCTTTTATGAGGAGCCCTGGAAGAAATTTCTTCTCTCCATGCTCTGACTTTTGTGCTTTTCCTAAGGAACTACTTAGTTTTTATTTTGTATAATTATGATTCATATAACTGACCTCAGCTACCTCTTCAGCTGGTTCTTAAAAGAAAGCCTAGTTCCACACATATGACTGGATTCTAACAGGTAGGTAGGTTCTTTCAAAATGATTTGCTTTGTATTCCCTTAAACTTTGCCTCTTATTTTCCTGGATTACTATTTTATCACTGTCAGCTGTTTCTCTTTTAATCTTCTTCTGTATGTATTTACGTAAATCACTTTAAATCCTTTTGGAACAAAGCAGAGTATGAATTAATAAGCTAATAGAGAAATATTTAGTGAAGAAAAAGTCTTTAGGTTGGCTCTGAAGCAAAATCAGATGTCTTTTAATGTTAATTTAATTCCATAAAAATCTTACTAAGTTTGCTTTTTTTTCTTTTACATTTCATTCTAACATACAAGTTGCATGCATTCTGGTTATTGTTGTTTGTGCCAAATGCTAAATCGGAAGTAAGACATTTTTATATAATTCAGTTAGCACTTTTGTGTTACATTGTTATCTGTTACCTAAAAATTACGTGGGTGATTTTAAAAAAAATTTTTAGTATAGCTGATTAAAAATCAGGTATCTTGAGTGCAGACATTAACTTTATAAGCCTGCAGCTTTGTGATCTCAGACAGAAAGGTTCTTTTAATGTCTAAAAGGCATGAATCAGCCCCATGGTGGGTAGTGCACAGGGAAGAGGGCTTATCTGGTGATTGTGGACTGACTGAATTTCAAGTGTACCACACTTAAATTTTGATGAGTAATTCTACCACAATGGAGGGGCAAGGCTGAGTTGGGATAGATTTTATTCCTGAGTATAGATTTTTCCTAAAGTCTCTCTTTTCTAATTCATGGAATGTGCAGCTCATTCAAGAAACACCCTCGAGGAGGGGAGGTTATAGCTCAAGTCGTAGAGTGCATGCTTAGTGTACACAAGGTCCTGGGTTCAATCCCAGTACCTCTTAAGAATAAATAAATCAGTAAACCTAATTACTTCCCCCTACTAAAAATAAAAAAAGAAATATCCTCGAGTGCTTCCTTGTGTGCGGGTGCCGGGCGTCCACTTCCCTGCTGGGGCGGCTGACCCCGGCGCGGGGCTGGGGGCCCTGTTGGAGGGCAGGAGCGCACAGCGCAGGCGCCTTCCATGCGGACAGGCAGCTTGAGCTGAGTCAAAAGACTTGTAAATACCGTTTCTTTCCTTGTCTGCGAAGGGTTGTGCCCAGCTGGCCCTGTTGACTAGGACTTGCCCAGTTTCACTGACAGCCAGTAAAAGCTCTTCCTCTAAGCGTGTCTGTAGGTGGCAGAACTAAGGAGCCGCATGATGATTCTGTGCCGTGTTTGTTCTCTTTCTGCCAATTCTTAACTGACGTGGAGGAAGACCCTCAGTTACAACTTTGGCAGAAGCTAAGTCTCTGACCACAGAGGGCACTGCTGGAGGTCACAAGGGGAGAAAACAAACTTTCTCGTCTGCCATTTCTTTTGACATGTTGGGAGACTATAGTGATATTTTACACCATTGTATATTAATAGTTAATCTTTTTTTCTTACTTCCTTAAAGCTTTTACGTTTTTCTGTTACAAGATTTGCTGCGCGTCTTCAGCCTGTTGTCTGTCTTTGTTGCTGTGTATCATCTTACCAGCCCGCTTCAGTCCCCCAGGCTCAACAGTCCTTCCTAATATGAAACACCTTACTGACTATGAAAGTCCTTTGGTTTCACACGTGCACTGTGCAGAGAGAGCAGAGTTGAAG